GATAGCAGCACAGCCCAGTTTGGGTATGGAATGGGACATTCCAATTCGTAAAATTTCAAAATCAAAGCGTTTCACACATCTCTACACAATAGTAAGCACACAATGGCCCAATCTATAGAGATTGCTCTGTGTGGACATGACCTGTCCACATGATATTGTTTTCATGAAATTCAAATGTCATCTCTTGCTGTGTGTATATATGTGTGTGCTTCAAATCTTCATTGGGTTAATGGATTTTTTTAAAAAAACTTCTTACACACACAAAAGGTTTTCTGGGCATTCTATGAAACAAGGTAAGAGGATGGGAAGGGAAGATTACATTTCCCAATAGCAGTAGTCACAATTTATAAGTTAAACATAACAGAGACCAAAACCAAATCAGCCGCATGGACCAAGTTCAACCAAAAGATCAGAGACCATAATTTAAAGGAGGAACCAATACTAGCCCAAGGACAAGGTTGTGATGCACATTCTGTCACTTACTGCCTCCTCCCTCTTATGTCCCTTTATCATTGAACTAAAGACCTGTCCTGGGACTCCAGGACTCCAGGATAGCCTAACCACTAGCCATAAATTAGAAGGAATTCCTCTTGATGAACAGGACTCTCTTTCCAAATATTCCTTCATGAAACCTGCTCTGTAACAATTATTTTGTTTTGGGGCTTGAAACTGCAAACTAGCTGCCCCATTTAGGGCTACATCTGCCTCATGGCTGATTCAGGGTGTGCATTTTCCAAGTCTCCAACTTCCATTTCTAGGTGATGTGAAACCTGTGGACATCAAATATTTCATATTCATCTTCTGACAAGGACTTCTTCAGGTGAGATCCAATACTACAGGGCATTCCAAAGCCTGCAAAATCCTCTGTTTTCTGCATAGACTGGTGCTGTTTGGGCTACATAAAGATCTACCTCACTTTGATCTTCAGAATTAAGTGGAATTATCCAAGGGTGGGTTACATCAAAAACAACAGTCACCAAAACTAAGTAGTTGCCTCTCTATTGTCAGGGAGAATTGATCTTAAAACAATCAGCACAGATCTCTGTTTTTAAACTACAAATGCCATCAATGCCATCAATCATCTAGACAGTAACTTTGTTTTGGCACTGAGGAAGAACTTCTAGAACAGCCTTTTCCAATTTATGCCCTCCAGGTGTACCGCAAGTAAAACTCTCAATTTTGCCACAGTTGTGCAAACAGTTCTACAAGATTAGCTAAACTTTTAGAAATAAAAAAGGAAAATATTAACTTATTGCAGAGTTAAACTGCATAATTTCAGTCTTTCTGTCAAAGATTATAGGCAGACAAGTTAATTGAATATATCAATTTTTATGCCAAAGAATGGAGTTAATGTAATGATTTCACAGTTCTTTGAAATATGCTCTTTAGAGTCCTTTGTCAGGAAGGAGTATGAAAAGGATGATGAATAAGCAAGAAAGAAGAAAGAAGAAAAACTATTTGTGCCCACATAAACAAACTTGTTCTCCACACTAGACGAAAGTTACAAAACAAGAAATAAAATACAAAAATGGTCCCCCCCCCACCTCCTTGGAGTAGTAACTCAATTAATATAAAGCATTTCATTCTTTCACTGGTACACAGGTTTAACTTTTTGGCTTCTCTATTTAAATAGTATAACCACAATAATTCATATGGTCTATTTAAAAGTTCTGTGAAAGCAACCTGATGTCCTACTGATGTTTTGGATTTCATCTATTCTTAGTCCTAGCTAGCATGGCAAGAAGTGGGAAATGTAGATCAAAGCATCTGTGGTCACTAGTTTGCTTGCCATTATCATTAGATCTATTTTCATTTTTCAGGTTTTTCCAAATGTGAGGAAGAGGAAATAGAAGTGGTAATAGTGTTAAAAAATGAACGATGTGCGAAATATTCTCATTTTACTAACTAGTATTCATTGAGTTCATATTAGAAAACAAAACATAAAATAGTTTTTAAAAAAATTATTAGGTAGACTGACCAACGGTTATGTGGCTGCAAAAGTTATCCAACCTCTGTTTTTGGCATAGAGATAAGTTAGGTTGAATGCAAATATAGTGATCTGATGTCACAATAGTAGCTCAGAGTTTTGGCAGAGCAAGCCGTGGATGTTATGGCTGCAGGGAAGATTAGTGATAGTTTGAAAAATAAATATTTGAAAAATAAATAAAATAGTGTTATTGTCCAGACAAGTTAAATTTCAACTCCAATATAGTCTGTGCTGGCTGAAAATTGGTAGCAAAAGGCTAACACACCTGCAGAGCGCCCTGTTGGGAAAGACTGTTTTATACATTGTATTTTTCTGTAAGGAGAGTGAATAAGCAACTCTTGAAATAGCGTTGCAGTAGCAATGATACTCCTCTACTTAGCAAAATATCATATGGAACTCCCTCCCTCTGTACAACTTCTAGAACTAAATGCCTTTCATTTGCTGAATCAAAACATTGCAAGCTTACTGTGTGAAATCACCTCTTTTCTACACCATTTTGCTCAATCTATTGTCAGTCATTCAGAATGAATTCTATCCCAGCAACACTTAGGCAGATCTTCCTAACAGTGAAATTTCTGGATTGTTCTTATTCCTTTTTAATGATCCATATCTTTAAGTAAGCTATAAGTAACTTGTCCTTTATTTCTTTGAGTAAGATCTGCCAAGATGAATCCCTCAATTATTTTAATAATTTTCACCAAATTATGTAATTAGAGACCATCTACAGCATATATGATAGGAATATCTTATAACTCTAAGAAAAGTGATTTTATCAGGGAGGTTACCTTCAAACAACCAGAGCACAACAGTCATAATATAATAGGTTATATTTATGAAAGAAACTTGCAAATCAGCCAACATATTCAGAACTAAGGTTTATTTGATTGGATTGGATTGGATTTCATTGGAAATCTG